TCTCATTCTCTCTGTCTTTCTTTCTTTCCCTTTCTTTCTTCCTTCCTCCCACACAGTTTCTGTTCTTTCATCTCTGTAGCTTTCTGTCTTTTTCTCTCCAGATCCCTGTTTGCTTGCTAAGCCTCATTAACAATTAATTACCAATCAGCTAGTCAAGTCACCCCTGGACCGCTGGGCTTCTCAATGATTCATTAGTCGGGGTTACACAACGTCGCGACACATAAACACACTCACACAGCGACACACACACAAACACACTCAAGCTCTGTCCCTCTCTGGGCGTTTCACACGAGTACACACAGACTTTGTAGACATGCAAAGACACACACACACAAACACACACACACACACACACAGAGAGAGAGAGAAGCAAGCAGCAAGCATATGGACACATGAAAATACTCCCTCACCTGCACACACCTGCGCACACACACACATACACACGCTGTCTGTATCTAATCACGGTGTCCTCATTAAAAAGAGATGCAGGAAAACTGATTGAGTTGGAAATTCTATGCATACAGGGTTCCCAAAAGTTACTTCAATGTCAACTTGAAGGATTTTTCAGTGACTTTCAAAGACTTGTTTGCTAAAATTGAAGAATTTAGAACTGGCATATTTTAGGATAAGACATGACGTTAATTAAAATAAGACATCACTACTAGGCCTCTTTACTTCATGATCCTATTAAGTCCAGAAATCCTGGTGAAATCCTTAATTTCAAAACTGCTGTTATATCAACCCCTACATCCATCACTGTGTTTTTCCTCAGGGTGTGAGATGTTGATCTTAGGATGGAGAAAGGCCCAGTGAGCTGAGGCACACTGATGAATGTGGGCCCTAGATTTTTAAATTAGAAAAAGAACGTTCAAGGGCATCTGTTCATTTCAATACATTTTCAAAAGACAAAAGTTTAAAGACCTTTCTGGTCTAATCCACAAGTATTCATTAACTGCGGAAACCAAAGACCAAAGACATTTTAACCTGTCTACACTCACACTTTTTACAGAGTAACTACTCAGTTCTCTGAACCCTCAATTCCCAAGACAATGCAGGAAATTTGGGCTGAATGATTGATTATTTTTGATATCAAAATTGTTTTCTGAAAGAGTAACTATAAATCAAATACTTAAAAGCATCCTAACAAGCTGTAGTGAGTCTTACTAATTTTACCTATCTATAGTTTATAATGTTGGGGTGGCTGTGTGAGGTGGTTGACCACAGGGTTGGCAGTTCGATCCCCACCTCCTCCTGTCCACATGTCTAAGTGTCATTGGGCAAGACACTGAACCCAGCCACTGAGAATGCACAAGACAGTTCATGTCGTCCCAAGCGAACCCAAATGAACCCAAGCCCGGATAAATGGAGAGGGTTGCGTCAGGAGGGGCATCCGCCATAAAAAGCCTGGTTTAATTTACAGAATATAATCGCAATTTAAATTGCAATCACAACAGGGGTCAGAAAAATTGCAATTATGTACTTTCCCAAAATTATTTGGCCTGAGGAAACTGAGGTTTGACACCTAACAGGGAAGTGTGTACTTTTAAAATGTAACTAAGCAACAACTCAGCCCAACCTGAGGTCAGACAAGGACTTTGCTTTTGTAGAAGTTTAACTTCACTCTGCTGCAAACTTGTACAGCTTTAATATGGACACTGACACAAGGGAAACAGCCTGAAGCACAGAGCGAATTTACTGCCTTGCTCAGGGATCCTTTGCTGATGAAGGAGTGCAAGATTTTCCCAGCTGGACTCAAAACGGCGACCTTCTTCTGACCTTAAAGTAACTGCTGAGGGACATTTTATCAGTGCCTCCACACGCCATGAGCTACTAAAGCTAACTGTACACATCGACCAACCAAAATAAAGCTGGTGACCAGTCTGAAGCACCGATGTCTTTGGATAACTTTGCTTGCGTTTCTCTCTCCAGGCACTCCGCTGGTTTCAACAGTTCACACCTTCTAGTGTGGCAAATTATGCTTGTCAATGTATAGCTCTGCACTAACTCGACAGACATTGATACAGCTACAGCATCGTGGGATTAAAGCGGAGTGTTTCTGTGTGTGGGTGCTGAGGTTTACTCTGTGTGTGTAAATCTGAGAGAGAATGGATGTGGAGTGGAGTTGGTGGGTGACCTTGGGGCAGGAAAGCACGAGCAAGAGTGATGATGTGTTAAACTGTGCACACACACACACACACACACACACACACACACACACACAAACACACAAACACACAAACACACACTATCAATATGTCAAGTCCAGTGTTGCCTGATGTCATTCAGAGTGCTCTGTTGTTTTGCTTAGGTTGTCAAATGATCCAGCAGTTCAGAAGCACAAGAGAAAGGCAAGAAAACCGAAGACAAGGTTCAAGAAATGTTTTAAAGGCAACAAATAAAGCACATTTGTCCAACAATGCAATTAAGCCAACACAATCACCTTTTTAATTAATTAATCCATGAAAACAAAATATATCCAAACTATTTTGGTAGTCGTTAGTCATTTTGTAAGCAAAAAAAAGCTAAAAATCCATTGGCAAAAGCCTCTTAGATGTAAATAGTTGTTGTTTTTTTTAGCCTCTTTTGATTTATGAGTGTTGATTAAACAAAATGAGCAATCTAAAGACATGGCCCTTCTGTTCATGTAAATTATCTTTGGGACATTTTTTAGACCAAATGTTAATCCAGAAAATATTGAGATTAATCAATAATGAAAATAATTGTTAGTTGCAGCCTACAATGTAGTTTAAGGGCAGCCTTTACTTATTTACATGAAACCTCTTTTATTTGTGGCCTTACATAACAAGAAAGGTTGATTAAAAGTATATTCTTATTTACTGCAGAGGATTAGAAAAGTAAATGTCCTTCTGGTCAAGAGCTGGAGAGTCTCACACACACAAACACACACACACACACAGAAGTTGTCCAGTGCAACCTATTGCCAGCCACTGAGCAGCTCCACTGGAGCAGGTGCAGATTCAGCGCTGCGTTCAAGGGCATCTCAACAGCAGTCAGTGATGGATGGATGAGTGCCTCTTTTTCAATTTATCTGTTCAGATCCCCGTCGTCATTCTGGGGATTCAAACTGGTGACTTCAATCTCTCGGTTCATGACGCATTTTTAAATGTACTGCCGTCAGAGATCAGGAAATGTGAGCACAAGAAGTCAGCGAGCTAAGAGAAAGAATTAGAGCTTGATGGCTCAAACTGCCTGGTGTGTGATAGATTCTGTTCTTTGTTTTTTTGGGTGGGAGTAAGGTGATATACAAGTAAGGTGATATACTGGTTCCCGGTATCTATTTCACCATTTTTTTGCTGCCAAGTCACATTCTGACATCCAGTGGTGTAGTGCAGGCTTTCAGTCGGAATAGGGTACACTAACATCTGGGTATCATTCGAAAGTGTTCAGCGACTGTTTGATGGCAAAGGTGTGACATAGTTGTTACTTTCATAAAGATCCAAACTCCCTCAAGTCAAGCAGAAGTTAAGTGACAATGTGCAAGTACTGCTGGCCCATGTTTGGGTGAACTAAATATGCAAGAGTAGGGTCTTTATCCTTTGCTGCACAGGTCACTTAAAATAATTTGGAGTATAAATTAAAGAGAAGAGTATACCCACTTCACCAGTGTTGGCAACACATGGGAAATCTGTGGTACACGAAACACCTGAGTGCACATGGCTGGTGCAAAATATTTACACTGCGTTTCAATGGAGGGGTATTTCTGAGCATGCACAGTACCTTGCAACAGACTGTGACCTGAGCGTTTGGCTGCAACAACATAGCCACCTCCCCTGCTGCTGGTTACTGAGCAGGCGAGATCGACTGCTGAGGGGTGGCTCATGTTAGAGATTAAACAGTTTAACCAATGATAGAACATTTTCCGGTTTGTTGCTTTCTTGTGATTTCTAGGGTTATAAGATGAATGGTCAGGCAAAACAAGAACATTGAGGCACTGGGAAAATTGTTTATACTCTGTTTCAGGTTTGTTAAACACTCAATTTTCTTCAGCCCTGGTTAAAATCTCCAGGCACAGCTGGCCCCACAGATTGAAAGGTTAAATGTGTCCCATGTTGTTTCAGAGAGATAAATACTTTGACTCCCTGCTGCACAGCTTTTGCAGAAATTCCAGCAGAATTACCATAATGTCCTAATGCATAATTTGAATTAATGCTTATTTGCCAGTGTTGTTACAGAGGCTACTTTGTCTGCATAGTGGCCTGGTCCTGTTGAACTCAAAACAAAATGGTAGACAGCCGTATACCGCACAACTCATGTATGTCAAACTTGATCCACAAACTCATGAGAATACCGGCCAGGGATGTGGAACAGCAGGTGGTAGCCTCCTGAATTACAAACGCCCCAGTTGCACAGTTCACATTTTCAACTCACAGATCCTGTCAGGGCAGCGATGATGTCGATGCTGATCTGTCTAAAAAAAAAAAAAAAAACAGACTACAGAACCACCGATCCCAGTTTTCCCTCAAAAGGATCACCACAAATCCAGCGCTGCGCCCCAGAAGCCAAATGACGCACACCTGTAACGGGCTCCTCTTCATCATAAACACACATTTCCACCGCTAATTTACATTTTCAAGCTTGGCACGTTAAAGCTGCATTTTGGGTTTAAATCACAAACTGTAGGGGCTCGACTGGAAGCCGTGAACTGGTGGGATGCCGCTTACTGGGGGCTACAATGATGCCAAAGACTATCATATAAGGGTAAAATATACGCCACAGATGACACGCACGCTGATGGCGCGCAATTGCAAGGCAGAATAGAGGTGAGTGTGTTTCATATTGGCGGCGTGGAAATATCTGAGGCAACTTAACGGTGAATTGGCGGTAGCCTCTTCGTGTATCCGCGGTCCAACCCCCCCACCCCCTACAGAGACACCTGCGTGCGGATACGCAGTCGAGTCCCTTTTGCCCGCTGCTCTCAGTCTGTGGCGGTGTCATTGTCGCAACTAATTAAAGAGGTAAAAGAAAAAAGCCGCGCTCACCTCTTTGGTGTTGACGATGCCTTTGACGTATTTCCCGAGGACTGAATCCACGCAGAAGACGCTGTACAGCACCGCCAGGCACAGAAGTCTCTCCCCGACCCTTACCTCCATCTTCCTCTCTCCCCCGCTGTCGCTCGTCTGCTCCCAGGGCTCTCGGTGCCTGTCTCTGAGCGGGAGCGCGCACGGAGGAACGGGGCTCGAGAGCGCGAGAGTGGATGAGAGGAAGAACCGAGCGCGTTCACGGTTCCGGTCCCTTCAATGCCTGTGGCCCCCTCCTACAGCTGAAGCTGGATGGTGGAGTGTGTGTGTGTGTGTGTGTGTGTGTGTGTGAGAGAGAGAGAGAGAGAGAGAGATTCGGGAGGAGAGGGGGGTTACAGAGTGCGCGCTCCCGGTTCCGCTCGTGCTTTGAGAATGCGACACGTCCACACATTAAAAATGCCATCGCTGATTGCAATCATGTTTTCATTAGAGGTCACACACCTCTAATGAAGTAGCACTGAGACAGATGATGCCTGGCCTCCCGGCTCAAATGATTATATCACTAATCAGCAGGATATATATACATATATCTATATATCAGCAGGAATGGGATCAGATCATTGGCTGTGTTACTGCTGAAGTTCCTTGAAAAATGTAATTTCTGAGTGACATATTCTATGTAGGCTATTAGCACAGTGTAAAATACTCTGTTGCAAGTATTTCCTAATTCAAAATTAAGTAGAAGTACTGAGGTATCAGCAAAATGTAGGCGACTTTAAGTATCAAAAGTCTATTATTACCTGTATTTATTGGATTTGAGTAATCTTAATGTTGTAGCTTAAGCAGATTTTTACTTATGTCTATAAAAGCATCATATTTTGTAAGCACATCATCATCATGTTTCAAGTTAAACCTTTAAATCGTTAAATATCTGCAAATTTACTGTAGCTGTCAGATAAATATAATGGAGTGAAAAGTACAATATTTGCCTCAGAAATGTGGTGGAATAAGAGTCTAAAAGTAGCATCAAATGAAAATACAGGTACTTTAAAACTGTACTCTTGTTACTGTTCACGACAGTGTAGAGACATAATGATACATGAATAATATCAGAGAGCTCTCTGCGTTGTGTATTTTTTGGATTTGATCTGACACTTTCTATATTTATAAAAAGGTCAGTTTTTTAATTGACCTTTCCCCAAGTCCTGACTGAATCAAGATTTTGGTTAAAATTAAATTAAGTTTTACCAAGTTTTTGGTATTCACAAGTGGAATCATAAATCATAGTCAAGCAAAAAACAAATCCAAAACAAAACCCATCAGATATACCAAGAATATCAGCCAGATCTATTGCATTACAATCTCGATTTCTTATTCTCTGTGACTTTTAGTTAACATTTGGTTTGATCAATGCAAAGAAAAGGTTAATGCATGAGTCTGAACACAACAGAACAGCAGGTTCATGGGAGAATATATTTATTTAGATAAAATCAACAAAGGCAGAAACCAGCCTACTCATGGCGAATCAGACACAACATTCTATTATGAGACCTGCAACGAAAATGCAGTCAAATCAATCAATCTGCAATCAATCAGATGAACAAATCGGAAAGTAAAAATATCTACATGAATCATGTAATGTTTAACATACATTCTTTTTTTATTCACGTTTGCACTTGTGGTGTTTTGAAAAAAAAAAATGTAAAAAAAAAGTTTTAAAAAAAACAAGTAAATGTAAAACAGCTTCGTTTCCAGTCTATGGCTTGTTTCTTTTAAAAGGCTAATCATATCCTACATCAGAGCTGCATTTTACAGTGCAGCATAATTTGCATATGTAGTGCAGATGGGCTACGACACTGGCTAGCACCTGCATTCTCAATGATACCAGTTAACAGCAAACACTAAACAGCAGGGACAGCGCATCTGTTACAAGACTCTGGCTGCAGTCTTTGGTTCTGCTTGAAACTTTAACCATACATATAGGATGTCTAACTGATAGGTCAAATGAGTACTTCTCATTAGGAAACATTTCTGAAGAGTGGTTGAGGTCAGTCTTAACGCACTGATGCATTTGTGAAAGGTTTCAAGAAATCTTGTTGTATCTACTTGAAAATAAGTGTTGTGGTATATGGGTTGGCATGGTAACTATGATGTACAACCTTGACTTTATGTTCATGTCAACAGTTGTTTGTTTGTATGTTGGTTTGTTATGTGTTTTATGTTTTCTGCAGCACAAACTGCCCACTTGGGACAAATAATAAATGAGCTGAAATAAACCTTTAGGTGATTCAAACACATAACAATACATTTCTGACTCTGGAAATGGAGACTGTGAAAAGTAAAATGATTTGATGCTGGTGTGTAACTGCATAGCTTTACCTAAGCAGCTAGCTCATGTTTGTAGCAGCATTGCACTTTGCATTGCACTTCACCGAGCTCTAGACGAGTAAACTGGAGGTATACTGTACAACCTGATTATTTAACTTAAAAATAAAAAAAGCAGCTTTACACTGAATGACTACAACTAGTTTGTTTGTACTAACAAGGACAATTTGTGATTATAAAGTTGTTCTGTGGATCATCAACAATTAGACACCTTTAATGAAGCAGCAACACTAATAGAAACAACACGAAATTAAACATTTCCAATTTGAAGGTAGTATATAAGCATCAGCGGAACCACAAAAAATGCCAGCAATCGGGGAAACTAAAAAGGTAACACTGACCCATCTCTGCAAACTCATCTGTGCAAAGCACCAGATGGGCTCTCTGGTCGATCGCCTGCACTCAGGTTAGCCTGATGCGCGAGTGGTCATCAAGGGTGAGAGGTATACAGAGGTCAATAAACAGCAAGTGGGTGAATTTGACACATTTTTTCAAAATGTTTTCTAGCAGCTCACATAATTTATACACAAAGTGCTGATGATCAACAACGGATGACAGATGGTTAATACTACAAATAGTCTCTTGACTTTAAAGTGCCATTCCCGTCTTTATATGAGCACACGACACAAACAAAGAGGACGCGCCCGTGTGTGAGCTCATGTTTCTCATCATGTGAATGAGCACATGCAGACTCCACTTGAGCCACACATACAGGCACCAAGTAAAGAAGAAAAAAAAGAAAAAAACCAAAACACGTTTACAAGCTCAAGCTTAAAATACACTTGCACGGATCGACAAATCAACTACCGCAAAAGTGCAGAGTGAGCATAAACAGCGGCTAGTAAAGCAAGTACAAACTTTAGCCCAGCATCTCCGAGAGGATGAGTGTATTACTTTCTTCCTTTTCATGGCCCTGGTTCTCTCCATCAATCTGACTAAAAATATTGCAGTAAGTACTCCGAGCTGACAGAACTGAGCATGGTCTAATCCTGTAGCATGACTTTGCTGCTGAAAATCCAGCTCTTCTACAGGGGGGAGGATTTTGCACTCGGAGCTTCAGCTAAATCCTATTCATCACACAGCATCCCCTCTCTACAGACCTGGCAACCCTAGCCCTGTTACCAGGCAAGGGCAGGACAGTGCCAGCATTGTTGGCATCTATATTTAGTTGGACCTGATAGAAGAACTGACCCTCAGAAGGACATTTTTGTGTACTTCAAAGTGCTTCGGTGGCATCGCGCTCAGACGAGTGTACTCAGCTTATCGAAAAACAAAGTCAACCCCAAATGTGATGGTGAGGAGCAAAGACATCTGGACCACCAGCCTCTTCTCGTTGGCCAAACACAAGTTCAGTGGCTGTTACACAGCACTCATACAATCTCTTTTCTTGCTCAGGGAGCTGGAGCTTTGCCTAAAAGCCTCTGATTTGTAGAAACAGATTGTCAGGCAGGAAATACCCTTGATCAAGAGAAGTGGTACTTTGACACACTACATACTGTGCAGAGAAGTAGTGTGAGCAATAACGCCTGTCGAGGAACGGGGACAACCTCAGGTAATCAGTGCAGTGGAGTTTAAAATGTGAATTGATAACTGAGGACTGGACTTTATGCTGCCCCTTTCTCTTTTACTCTAGTTCTGCTGAAGGAGAATCTCAAGCAATATTTTTCAGTCGTAAAATAATAAAAATGAAAACATTTTGCCTCTTTCAGACATCTGAGAGCTAGGATTGTTCCTTAAAGACCTTATAAAGATGGGAATCGAGTTTTCAAGCAAGTACTAGTCTTCTGAAAATAATGCACCTTAGTGCATCTCCAGGAATTTCACTGTAGCAATCAATAAAATGCAATCTTTGCATTAGTATATCAGCACTATGAAAAGCACCAGGCAGCATCTAGATAGTTAAATACTCTACATTTACTTTATCCTATCAGTATGCTTTACTGGGAGTAGGATATGAGTTCAATTGGAAAGGCCAGGGATGTTGGAGCAACTGTGCCAAAGAAGCAGAGGTAAATATTGAGCACAATCACAAATGTGGAATGAACAACAAAAGATTACATTGAACAAACAATATAGTGTACAAATCAACAGACAAACCTGTAATGATTAAATTACAGCAATAGAAAAAAAAAAAGAACATATAAATAACAAACGTAATACTACTGCATAGGGTTAATAATATGATTAAAAACTGCAATAAAATCTCAAGAAACAAGTAAATCAATTCAGTTTAGAGTATTTCAGTCTGTTGTGTTTTAGCTCTGTAATTCTATTTGGGAGAGAGTCAACAGAGTTACTATCCACAAAGTGAGCTGTATTGACTGCCAAACTGGCGTAATGGAGAACACAATGTGGAGTTATTAAGTGTGATTTAGAGCACCTCCCTAAAGGACAAGTGGCCATTTTGATGGGGATGACTCTATACAGAAGCATATAGTGTGCCTACCACTGTCTGATTAGGGCCTCAAATGACTGCCTTGGCCTAGATGAATCACCCATTCAGGCCTCGTCTCAAGAATCTCCAGCGCTACTTTATGTCCGAGCCTCTGCTGCCCAACGGCAACTCTGTTAAGTATGTGTGCTGCATGTGTGGGTGAATGCTGGTCTTTGATCTAAGTAGCTGCTAAATTACCATTTTATTTTTAAACATTTTGTGGGTGTGTTCATTTTGTCTGCCTGATTTGCGTCAGTGCATGATGGTGCACAGACAAGTGGCAAGAATTGTAAAGCAGAGGAAGTTGTATTTCAGTGCTCCTCCTCTATTTTTTTGTCTCTCAAAAACTGGACAATCTCCTAGACTTCCCCCTCCCCCTTTTCTGTTTTTAGGATGCTTTCTCTCTCCCTTTTAGGCATTGCACTGCC